GCAGAGCCCTGCAGAGCTGAGTCCAGGGTCTGCACCATCTCTGGCCAGAACTTTCTGCAAGTTTGCAGTGGGCCAGGTTTTGGAGAAGGGAGTCAGAGCCTTCACCATGTTCTCAGATAACCCCAGAAGAGAGATGGAACTTCCCCTAGGGGTTTAGAGTGACTCTCTGGGGAGGATCTTGTCTCCCCATGCGCGCATGCTCGGGAGGCTGGTGCCGGTTGACCGGAGCAGAGGGCTTCCGCAGGAGCCGGCCTGCCTTCTGGTTAGAAATGGGGCTTCGCCACCACTTCACAGATAAGGGAGGTGTGGGGTGTGAGGGCCTTGGGGATTGTACCTGTGCAGTTGCTTTCAAACTGCCGTCCCTGAGGAAGGACTCACCTCCCATGTCGGAAGGTCTTGCCCAGGTAGGGCCGTGTGCTGGCCAGGTGCCAAGACAGTGCCAGGCAATTGAGAAACGGGAACGCAGGAGCTGTTTTTCTTCGGCAGAGCTAATCCAGACTTAGGCCCATCAATCACGCTGTGTTAGGACACAAACTGGGAGGCAAGGCTGGACAAGCTTGGGCTTTCGAGCTCTGTGTGCATTAGTAAAAAGCAAGGTTGTGTTCAAACATCTACTTCTGCGTCGTCAGCTGCGTGGCTCCAGTTAACTGTGCTTGGAGCAGTGGCTTTGGGGGTCAGGAAATAAAAGATTCTTAGCCCGCACTGGGATGCACCCAACATGGTAGCTGCAGACCAAGAGTTGGAGGGGCACCAAGTTTTCCACCCAGTCACTTCTGCAGCCCCCAGCGCTGTGTGAAGCTGGTTTGTCGCGTGGAAATGGCACGTTTTACAAGACTGGGTGGAGAGTCTTTGGCAGTTTACACTTGTTTCCCGTTTGCATCTATTATTTTTTTAAACTTGCCTATACATACATGTCATGATGTATATATAATACATTCTAGCTGTATATTTCTTACTCTTAAAGCAGAAGGACTGCTGATCAGATTCCTGTGAGCTGATAGGGTCAGAAACAAGTCCGCAAGGGTTTCAACAAATGATGCTCTTTTATGCCTCGTGGAAAGGGCACACCTGAGTTTCTGTTCTCATTTATATCTGTTGGATTTGGACCAGGGTCAGGGCCTGGCCCTCGCAGCCCAGATTTCCCTCCCGTAGGCCCAGGCTGGCACTCTTGCTCCTTGTCCTGGGTTGGCATCCTGCCCAGTGTCTCTGGTCCCAGGTCGCTGATCTCCCTCTGCTGGGCAGTGCTGAGGACCCGTGTGGTACCACAGGCCACCCAGAATGGCTGGTTTGACGCAGAAGGAGCTTTCTATGGAGCATGTGCAAGCCTTTCCACCGCCCTGCAGGTGTCCTCGTGACCCGGGAAGGCGGACACGTACACTTGGGCAAAGTTGCCTTAGTAAAAGATGGATATTTTTACAAAACAGTCTCAGGATTTCAGTCTTGGGAAATACTCTCTGAGTCCCTGAGGTGGGTGTGTGGTTTTCAGATGAGCATTTTATCCTCCTAGGGTTCAGACTTGAGTGCTATGAACCTCAGCCTTGTAGAGCAAGTAGAGCGAGCCGCCTTGGCTGAGTCCTCAGGAACAGGTGAGTGTTGCAGGTGTCCAGGCCTCCATAGTGTCTCTAGCCTGGGGTTGCTGAGATTTTTGTAGCTCGGAGACAGGTCTGGCCTATGTGGAAGGGTCCAACCCAGCTGAAAGTGGAGCCTGCGTGTTTTAGCTGACTGCCCGTTAGTTTCCCGTTGCTGCCTGTCTCTCAGTGGCCTTCCCTCCCGGGGCAGCAGCGGTCTCCTGCACGCGTGTCCATCTCGCAGACATGCCTTTTGCAATTGGGCAGTAATACAGAACACGCTGGACCCAAAATCCCATTTTGTTGATTGAGCAGCTCGGTGCGTTTTTCTGCCATGGCCCTTCGTCTGGGCCCAGGTCACCTCGGTGACCCGTTGCTGGGGGGCAGCAAGGTGAGATGAATTTCGTTTGTCCTGCCAGGGGACTGCGTTTTAGGCTCATCTGTTTTCAGGCCCTTTAGACAGGAGCAACGTTGTGGTCACCACGTTCATCCATGGAAGCGTCTCCCGACCGGCGGTGGAGCCTGGCTTCAGCCCCGGAGGGTCAGGCAATATACCGGTTCCTGGATTTGGGGCAGTGGGGCTGGGACTGAGGGTCCGAGTCCACCCCAGCTCACTAAGAGTGATACGGCTGTGATTGAAGTGTTGGGAGTAACATTTTTTTTTTTAAATAAAAGGAGGAAAACATTAGCAGACAGACAACCTTTTACAAAATAGCAAAAGAACAGTACAGATAATACAGAGTTACAAAGTGGTCGGAAATTAGCAATGCTTGTTGTATTACATATTGATATCTTCAAAGTGGTTTCTTATGAAAACAAATAGAGACATGCAATACTGATCAATCAAGGACTCATTAGGGAGTAACATTTTTTACTTAGGTTTTTTTTTTTTTTTTTTTTTTTTTTATTCCATATAAGATGGAGCGAAGAGGGGCTAGGGATTTAGCTCAGCGGCACAGCGCCTGCCTGGCAAGCGCAAGGTCATGAGTTCGATTCCCAGTACCGGAAAAAAAACAAAACAAAACAAATAAAAAAAAGGTGGAGCGAAGAATTAAGTTACAGAGCAGCGGTGGCGAACCTTTTAGAGTGGCCCGTGATACGGCCCGCGGGCCGTAGGCTCACCACCCGTGTTGTCTGTGGAGAAATACAGGCGAGTGGCTCATAACAGACACTTGTGTGGAATAGTGAGGAAGCAGTTCCTTCGTGTCGTGTGGGAGGACACAGGGCCTGAGACATACAAATTTGAGTCGAGGTGCCGGTGCCCTTGAGAGGAAGCCAGCTGGCATCACTAGAGTGGACTCAGTTCCCTGCAGAGGCCTTTTAGCACAAAGGGTGAGCTGGGTTTTAGTGCTTAGCTGGCTTGAAGGGCTTCGTGAGCCCTTGACCCGTGCCCGGGTCATTCAGGAACGCTGCGCCCAAGCTAAGGGCAGCGGGTTCTGGCCGTCTGGGTGCAGCCTGGGCCCCCTGGCCTGATGGAGCCAAGGGTTCTGGGGAGCCACAGCGCCCATGAAGTTGCACCCAGTGCTGGGGTGGTTTCACCCTCATGGAAATGCTGAGCATGGGCCCCTGGAACCTCTGCCTGCCTGGGGCGATGGTCATTCTGGCCCCCTCTTCCAACTTTGTCCCCTGGTGCCTGCCCCTTCCTGTCTCTGCTGCCCCCACCACACTGACCTGGACATAGCAGAGTGTGAGTGAGTGGCTTGATCGGGGGCCCAGGGCCTCTTGCAGGGGGCGCACAACCGGCTGTGACATGTCCCAGCCACATCTTCCTTTGCATCAGGAAGGGAAGACGGTAGGCAGGGGAAACCAGGCTCCCGTTCAAGTAACCTGAGTCTGGGGGGTGCTCCCCTGCCAAAGCAAGAGCTGTGAATAATTCAGCAGCTGAGGCGGCTCCATTCCTGTGCAGAAACCTCCCTCTTGCCACGTCGGTGTGGCAGAGTGTGGCGGGACCCACTTGTGACCCCAGGTTCCCTAAGAAATGCAACGTGTTCATCGTGACCTTAAACATGCAGAGCACAGTGCCAGACACCCAGCCTGGCAGGCGTCCAGCCGAGTGGGGATGACTGCACGTGGGGCTGCCTGTGTGGCTCCAGGCGCCCAGGAAGGATCGCATAGATCAGACCAGAAAGGGCACAAGCGGAAGCGGGAAGCCACACTTCTCTCACTGTGGTGGAGCTCAGCCTCGGGTCTGCTGAGTTGATTTCATCTTTTTTGGACTGGGGATCAAACCCATAGCCCCCCAGGTGCCAGGCAGGTGCTGCTGAGCTACATCCCCAGGCAACCACGTGTTAAAAAGTCTGTTTCGATGTTGACGAGGACAGAACACTGAGGCTGTTGAATGCCACAGATTTTCAGGGACAGGTGAAGGCCGGTGGCCCTATTCACGTTCTCAGCTGAGACTGATGAGGGATGCGGAGTGAAGTGCGCTGGTGGGAAGTGACATTCTGTCCCTTGAGGCCTGACCCTGGGAAGGTCCTCTGGTTCACTCACCATGGGTCCCTGGCTTGTGGGCATCACTGAGCCCCTAGAAGGCCACCTGTGTCACCCTCCTGCCCCTACAGATCCTGTCCCCTCTCCTTGCCATCCTCCCTGCCCTGGAGAAGTACAACACTTATCACTAATGCCCGGGCTCCTCATGCAAACTTGAGCCCACCCCTGGCACGGTGAGCAGCAAACAGGGACAGCGGCGTGGTGACATGCAGAAATGACACTGGACTCGCGAGGTTCAGAGGCCACCAGTGGAACAGTGTTCACTGTGGGGAAACGCACTCAGCCCAAGGGGGAGCCCTGACTCCCTCATGGGGCTCAGTAACCCCTGCGCAGGTACCTGTCCGTCCTCAGAGTGGAAGAGAAGGACTGTAATTTGGCTTCTGTTTTAGTGTTTTGCAAAAGCTATTTAAAAATGAGTCCAGGGGCTGGGGATTTAGCTCAGCGGCACAGCGCCTGCCTGGCAAGCGCAAGGTTGTGGATTCGATTCCCGGTACCCAAAAGAAAAAAAAAATGAGTCCAGGCATAACGAGGGAGCTGCTGGGGGCAAGTTGGGGGTCACCCACTTTTGAACCTACAGATTAGGGAGAAATTGGGTAGAACCTCTGACTGGTGTGCAGTGCCCATAGGAGCCCCAACTAAGGATTATTTTCACTGGGTATGGTGGTGCATCCTTGTGATCCTAGCTGCTCAAGAGGCTGAGACAGGAGGATTGCAAGTCTGAGACGAGTCTGCACAACTTAGCAATCTTATCTTAAAATTTATAAAGGGCAGGGGTTACAGCTCAGTGGTGGAGTGCTTGCTTAGCATGCATGAAGCTCTGAGTTTAAACCCCAAAAAGAACTGCACATACAAAAATTTTGTCTCATGCTTTGGCGGGACAGCCTAGGAGAGCTAGAAGCAGCCTTAACAAGCTAATCCTTTTCCTTCTCTCCGTCTCTGTAGAAACTTGAAGGGTCTAAGTGCAAAGGTCAACTTTTGATTTTTGGGGCAACCAACTGGGACTTGATTGGTCGTAAAGAAGTGCCTAAGCAACAAGGTATGGAAAACAGTTTCTAAACATCAATCAGTTGCTTCTTCCCTACTAGGTGTCCCGTGCACTTCTGCTGACCACCCATCAGGTAGGTATTCTCTGTTTACAAATGTGTTCATGGAGGCCAAGTGACTTGTCTGGGGCTGCACAGCCACTGCTGTGGTGGAGCTGGATTTGAATCCTGGTCTGGAGAGACTCCGATCTTGCAGTTCTGCCTTTAAGAAACCAGTTTCATTAAGATTACACAGGGAAATAGAAATGGCTTTCTCAAATAAGCACGGACACCATTTTCCTCCTCCTCCTCTTCTGCCTGTCACTGGCCTCCCTGACAGGGAAGAGGCCGGTCCCATGCAATGCTGCCGGAGGCTTAGACATTCGTCGGCTGTCAGGTGTCAGGAAGTCCTATGCTTTGACAGCCCACATTGGTTCACAAGCGGCCAGCTTGCTGCAGGAGCCAGGTGGACAGCAAGAGAGAGAGGGAGCAGGGAAGTCCCAAGCTGTAACTTTTTATCCCAGCTGCCTTTAGGAAGTTGGCGTCTTTCCTCTGGAGAACTGGGCCTGTCCCTGACGAGGCTGGCATGTTGCCGTGCTTTATGGCTTCTTGGTTTTATTTGGAAACTTGCCCAACGTGCTTTCTACCATTGCTTCGCCCCTGAACAAATATTTGCCCACTGTCACACCTGGCACTCAGGGCAAGGCATGGGAGACCAGCTCATCCCGAGGAGGCAGCCTCCGTGGGTCGCAACGCGTGGCGGCTCCCTTGTGCAGCAAGCCTGTCCTGCTGCAGGCAGCTGAGTCCCGGGAACGCCTCCTGGTCTGCGGCAACAGCACAGCCCGCATGCAGGTGGCACCTCCGCCAGTCCTGCTCTTAGCTAAGTGGCCCACCACAGCTCAAGGGGCAGGGATAGGTGCCATCCTGTGGCCCAGCACGGGGCGAGGGAACCCTCAGCCTCCTGCTCCTTCTGAGGCTCCAGAAGCTCTAATGGGGTATCTCAATATCGCCACCCCCCCTTCTATCTCTATTTCTGAGGTTTCTGTTCCTAAGTAGGTTTATGTAATATTTTTCTTCTCTTCTTTTTCTTTTTTCTGCCCCCCCGTCTTTTTGATTGATTGATTGATTGATTGATTGATTGATTTTTGGTCTTTTTCTGGTACCGGGAATCAAACTCACGACCTTGCGCTTGCCGGGCAGGCGCTGTGCTGCTGAGCTAAATCCCCAGCCTCTTTTTCTGTCTTTTTGAGACAGGGTTTTGCAGTGCAGTCCAGGCTGGCATTGAACTTACTTTATAGCCCAGGCTAACCTTGAACTCACGGCAGTCTTCCTGCCTCAGCCTCCTGAGTGCTGGGATGACAGGCATGTGCCACCATGTCCGGCATATGTAATATTTTCACTTCTAAAAATACTGTTTTTTTTTTTTTGTCTTTCTGAGACAGGGTCTCGCTATGCAGTTCAGGCTGGTCTTGAGCTCACTTTGTAGCCCAGGCTTGTCTCGAACTCGCAACGATCCTCCTGCCTGAGCCTCCCAAGTGCTGGGATTACAGGCGTGTGCCACCACACCTGGCTTTAAAAATATCTTTAAATGTCAGCTAGTAAACATTGGAGGGAAGGGAGGGGGATTTGTTTTCCCATGGGATGGACAAGGTTTGAGAAGATGCCTGCCCCGCTCACCTGTCAGGGAGCCGAGGGACCCCAACCACAAGCAGCCTGCATCTCACTGTTTGGCTTCCCAGACAGCAGGGTGGGCAACGTAATTAGGACCAGGCCTTGGGGTCCTGGAGGCTGATGCAGGAAAAAGAGGTAGAGGAGGAGGGATATTAACATCCATCAAGCTGACTGCCGCTGCCAGAATTAGCTGTGAGCCCTCTGGACAGAGCCTCCCCTCTGTCCTTGGGAGCTGGCTGAGTGCTGGACCTGCAGCGGGGCACCGTGGGAGCTCTTGGTGGCAGACCTTCCCCAAGTTTCCTCCCGTACTTACTGCCTCCTAACTTGGGTGGCGCCTCAGGGCTCTCTTCCCGTTCTGATGTAGCCTCTGAGGCCACTGCCTTTGTCTTCTCTGTGCCCTGGGCATGCCTGACATCCCCACGGCTGTTAGTGGAGGTGTTGCCTGTGTGGCGCTGTTATGAATCCACTTGGAGCCCTCTGACCACTAGGGGCCACACACCCTGCAGGGGATCTGCCATGTGACAGGGAGAGAGGACTCCAGGGACAGAGTCACAGCCTCACAGCTTGCAGTCAGCGCCTCCAGGCGCCCGTGTGACACCATGAGCTGCTGGTTCCTACTTTCTGGAAGTTGTCACCACTGCTCTGTCACGTACTCAAGATCCCAAGTTGAAAATGAAGCTAACAATGGTCCTGCCCCTTCCTCGTGGTGGAAGCAGGGATGTCGGGGGAGTAGCCGATCTGTTGCCCGCCGGGTGCTGAAGTGGTGTTGAGCCGTCACCATGTGCCAGGAGTCTGGGCCGCCCTGGCTGCTGTCACGGGAGGAAGAGGGAAGGCAGGTGGCCCGGCAGGAGGGGTGCCGACGGGGGAGCCACCAGCTAAGGGGGAAGTTTCTTTCTGACTCTTGTTTGCATCAGTCAGTGTGTGCAGTACGTGCTTATGTTCAGCACGGGGCATCGGGCATGTACAGCGCTCATCTTCATTCTTTTCCCGTCCCCTTCCCCTCCCTCGCCTTTTGGTCCCAGAGGAGGGATTTCTAAGTCAGATGTGGACAGGCGGGGCTCAGGAGGGACACGGTTGGGGAACTGAGTTCGTGGGGGCAGCTGACACTGAGGCCTAAGAAAGGTCAGACTCGTGTGGCTGGAGGTGAGGGAGGCGGGCTGTGGGCGGGGCCTTGCTGGACGGGGCAGGTGCTGGGAGGGCAGCAAGGTGGCTCATGACACCAGGGCTGCTCTGGCTCCTGGGGTGCCTTGCTTTGGGGCCTTTGGGGAGCACGGGGAATTGAGGTGCATACGTCATCCCGGGGTGCCTCTTGATGGCCAGGCCAGACCAGCCCAGCAGCCCACAGCCCCTTGGACCTGAGGGAAGTGGGCCCTTGGCGGCTGGCGACGTTTTGGAGGTGGTCTCTTCCTCCCCATCCCTGAGCACGGGGTCTGACTGGGATCTTGTTCTCTCCGCAGCCGCGTACCGAAATCTCGGTCAGAACCTGTGGGGGCCCCACAGATATGGATGCCTGGCGGGGGTCCGGGTGCGGACGGTGGTCTCGGGCTCATGTGCTGCCCACAGCCTCCTCATCACCACTGAAGGGAAGCTGTGGAGCTGGGGTGAGTACACGCAGGCGGCGCCCCGTCCCGGGCCGGACGTGCCCTCTCCGTCCCTGCCCTCTCTGTCCCCTGGAGCAGTGTGGGCCCCGCTCCTGCTCACAGACCTGTTTTCTCTTGTCTGCGTTCCTAGCCTGCCTTGTCGGTACCCTACAGAGAAATCCCTTTCCTCCACCCGCTAATTTCTCAGCTTTGTGCCACTGCCCCAACTAATTGTTTGAGTCCTTCTTTATTTCTCATTTTTTGCAGCAGTCCTCCTGCCTCAGCTTCCTGAGAGCTGGGATTACAGGCGTGTATGTACCCTTACACCCCGGCCTCCTTTGAATCCTCTTTAGCAACGTTTTCCTGAACTTTTGGACTAAAGTTTGATCTTTCTGATGCTGAGGTGCCTCCGAGCGAGTGCCTGTTTCAGGCACGTGTCCCTGCAGCAGACAGTCCCGTCTTGCTCTGTAGCACAGTGTGACATAAGGCCTCTGTTCTTGCCACTTTAAATGCCACCAGCTTTTGTAGCTGCCACCTCTTGTCACAGGCACAACTCTGCCCCCCTCCAGCGGCCACTCCTCTGGCCTTGGAGCTCCCGGCCTGTTGGGTCCGTCTCTCCAGCACTGCCCTAGGTAGTTGCGTTGCCTGTCCTGGTGTTCTCACGGGGCTGGGGGCCCCGGCTTGCCGCCCCCGCAGCTCCTGCTCTGCCGCTTCCCTTCCAGATTGTTAATACAGTATTGGTAATTGACCACGGCTCGCTGCCTCCCGAGCCCTGGGCTCTGCTGCCAGCTGGGCATGTTGGCGTTTGTCCCCTCCCTTTGTTTCTGGCCCTTTGGCTGCCTTTTTGTCCATATGACTGCATTTTTATTTCGGTCTGTTTGGACCATTTTTCACAATTTCATGAGCTGCTGCACCAAAGTCCAAATATATTAACATCTGTCGTCTTCCCGCACTCTGCTAATTTTATAATTGTGTTGCAAAAAAAGCTAACAAGTGTGTCTGGCCCAAATTTATCCTTCTGAGCTCTCGGTGACATGCTGACATTTGCCCTGATTTTTGTCTTCTGCCGGTCGGCCTGGGGGTGTGTCCCCCACACCCCTTGTGCCCATGGTGGACACAGTGTCGTTCCAGACTTGACGGCTTTCCTCACCCGGCTGAGTTCCCCTCCGGGTGGTTCTAAGACAGTCCCTGTCCCTGCTGACCCTGCGGCGGGAGCTGCTGTCTATGAATCTGTGATTTCCCCGGAGCCAGCGTGGAGCGCCCATGGGCGTCATGAGTCCACCGGGGGTCACATGAAAGCCCAGGGGCGTGGTGCCGTGTCCGTAGCCCTGGTGCCCCGGGGAGGCTGGCACCTTCCTGGCACACTGTGACCCTGTGTTTGGTGTTGAAGGTGCCTTTCAAAGTGGACCCAGGGTGCTTGTGGCAGTGTGGCCCTGAAGCACGCCTCTCTCTGACAAAGTACACAGCTGAGGAGGCCACCTCCTCGCAGCAGGCCCCAGGTCAGCGTCCAGCCATGTCAGTGCAGGCCGCGGCCTCTGCCAGCCTCCTCCAGGGCCCTGGCACCCGGCCTTGTGGCCCCTGCTCACACGTTTCTCATAACTTCAAAGTGAAAAGCTCCATGCTGGGGAGGGGCGCCCCCAACAGTGCTCTGACTTAGCCCCGTCAAATCTCCCTTAACCCACAAACACTAGGTCACACGGGTGGTCCCCTCAGTGGAGGGGGGGTGCTTGCGAGTGCCCACGGGTTTTGTTTTAGACCCATGTTGGGACCTGGGTGGGATTCAGGGGTGCCAACTCTCCTCATGGCCTCCCAGTGCCACCCACGTTACCCCTGTGCATCCCCGGGGTAGACACAGCCTCAGCCGGAGCAGCTCCAGGGCGGAGCTGGCCCTGCAGGCCGGGTGTTCAGAGCAGGTCTGTCCCTTGTCCCCAGGATTCATGGGGCCTGAGTATTTGAGGGGTCATGGGGAGGGGACGCAGATGGGAGGAGAAGTGATGGACAGAGACCAGGGGGTCCGCGGTGGGTGCCCCATCCGCTGAGCTCCTCGGCCAGTGTTGGGAGGTCCCGGTGCTGGACTCCGCAGAGAGAAGGAGCCGAGGAAGCAGGGCCTCCGAGGCGCCACGGGGACGGGGATGTCCTAGGAGTCACCTGTGGGCCACATCCAGGCATTTTGTGGATTTCCCTTGGTATCGGAGATTGGGGGTGCACATGGACGGGCCCCAGCTCTGCCGTTGGAAGGGAGGTCAGAGGTGTGCAGGCGCCGCAGCTGGAAAAGGGTCTCAGGGCGGCAGCAGGTGGGACCACGGACCCTGCACCCCGCTGAGGACGGAGAAGCTGCAGCCTGTGCTGCCCGGCTCAGGCCACCGGTTTGGAGGCTCCATCTCTGGACAGGTCTCGGGCCGTGAGCCCCGGCGGCGCTGCCCGGCCCCGCTTCCCCCCCTCACGCGGCTGTGGTCCATCTAGGGCGGAACGAGAAGGGACAGCTGGGCCACGGCGACACCAAGAGAGTGGAAGCCCCCAGGCTGATCGAGGGCCTCAGCCACGAAGCCATCGTGCTGGCAGCCTGCGGGCGCAACC